ATGTCCGTCATTACCTCCTGTACTTGGTTTGACGTGATTTGGCCCACCCGTTGTCGAGAACGATGACATTGACCTGGTGAGTACTCCCTGCCCCTTCCATCGTAAATTTGCTCGTTCTCACTCAATTCCGCGTACATTTGTGATGTTGCATGGTCGATCGTCGCATTTGAATGTCCAGCATCGCCTCCCATCCTTGGTTTGACGCGATTCGGCCCACCCGTCGTCGAGGACGGTGGTATTGACCTGGTAAGTACCCCCTCCTACCTCCTATCGTAAATTTGCTCTTTCTCACTCATTTTTGCGTGTATTTGTGACGTTGCGGGGTCGATCGACGCGTGTTGATGTCCCGCATCGCCCCCCGTACTTGACTTGATGTGATCCGGCCCCTTCGTCGTCGAGAACGACGACATCGACCTGGTGAGTATCCCTTGCTACCTTCTATCGTAAATTCGCTCGTTCTCACTCAATTCTGTGTGTATTTGTGATGTTGCAGGGTCGATTGACGCGTGTTGATGTTCCGCATCGCCCCCTGTACTTGGTTTCATGCAATTCGGCCCACTCGTCATTGGGAACAATGCTATTGATTTGGTGAGTACCTCTCCACCCCCTTCCCCAGCTTATATGTACCACAGTACCCACGGGTACCCCTCAGGTACCTACAAGATACCCGTAGACTCATTCTATCCATGAGTACCTGCCCATTGGCAAGTACCTGTATCCGTGGATATGGATACCCGTTCCCACGGATGCCACCCCGGATACAGGTGTGGCCTCTGAGGGAACAGGTACTTGTTCCCACGGATACAGGTACTCGCACGGATATAATCGTGGCATGCCCTGGTACAGGTGATTACATCTCTCAACATGTCGAACTACTGTAGTTTTTCGCGCAAGTTCACACCACCGCCCCTCGGCTGTTGCCGACAGTGTTGTGCCGGTCCGGGACTGTCGCTCTAAGTCGCGTGGACAGCCGGATCCGGTCTGCGAAGCGACCTCAGCGACCGAGACCTTGGGCATCTTGGAGTCTCATACCATATTTGGTCATTTGCTGATATAAGATGGGTCGACACAGCGCCTCCCAGCAACCTCCAAGACACTTTCTGTGCTCGCCCGCTGTTTTTCCCTATTACTGAGGCCTCGATGATCACAACTCAAATTGTGTCACATAAATAGTGTGTTCTGTGTACTCTCTGCATGGTGAATATCTTATGATATCCTGTGCTGTCGATGGCACCTGCGTTGTAAAGGTTGCCACATCTCGGGCTCATGTCTGTGAACAGTCTATATTTCATTCTGTACTTCTCGACTTTCGGCTGCTACTTGCCATGCTCATGATTGAGAGCAAGGAATGACTGCATGGTCATTTTTTTCTTTGCCGCTAGTCCAACAAGGATATATCATACATGTGAAGCCCAAAAGTGGGGGACAGGGTCATAGTCATGCTAGGAGATTGTCCAAGGTCCAGCTGTTCAGGAAAACAGACACAACGGGCCTAGACGTTTTCGTCAGAGCTCGGCGGAGCTCAGACAATACCTTTGAAATTGGTTGAACTTGTTTCTAGGGCGTCGGTGCGAACCTCGGCCCCGGGCCACACAAGTTGTCTTGGGTCGCACCGAGTTGGTGAAGTTTGTACGCTGAGCACAAACAGAGCCAGCTGTGCTCAATTGATGCTCAACATGGTTCAACTTGGTTTGCTATGGTCGGACTGAGTTATTGACACCAACTCAAGCCTCGTCCATTTTTTCATTAGGTGAAACTTGAAACAGTTGATTTTGGCCACACCGGTGCCACCTGCCCTCTTTCACCAGCATCCCTTCTTCATTATTCATCACCATCTGTACCTTCAGATGCAACCCACACATGAGTCATTTAGGCAGGAACACAAGATTATATCACACAGAGGCATATTCTACAGCAGGGCATGCTGGTACAGCGTAGAGTAAGTACTAGTACATGCAGTGTACTAATTTACATCCAAAATGACCTTGTGCACTTTAATCGGATGGAAAACCCACTCATTTCACCGATAGGCGCACATATTACCATTCAAAGTCATCATATACAACATCAGAATGGGCACCAATGTCGAGTGATCAGTACGACGTCTGCAACAGCCTAATTTTGCCACCACCACATCCCATATTAGATTAGATTAGATGATCTTCAAGGTCCTGCCTTTCCAAGGTCGCTCGGCTGTCGCGCGACAGTTCCGAGTCTTCGGACCGAGACCCCAAAGACTATCGCGCGACCGGCACAGCACTGGTTGCCGAGATGACATAATCCATCTGTGTCCCGGTTCACAGACATGGTGGGACAAGGGACAGTGTTCCCTGATTTCGATTATTTTTTTATGATATCATGGCTTTGCGGCCATCAATACAGACCTTCAAGTTGATAGAATTGACAGAATAATATTTTGAAGCTCAGAACTTAGCTTAAGGTTGGCTTAAGGGGCTTGCAGAGGCCAAGCTGGAAGCATGGTAATTATTATTCTTTTTTGGTCATATTTTAATTTGTCCCAATTACATGTTCATTTCAGGTCGACAGTATGGGACTGTCCCAGGGCACAGGTTCGTTCGTGACCCCCCTGGGACACGGGACACGAACTTCTGCCCGAAAAACTACAGTATCTAAAGTACTTAGCTGGCCACGACATAACTAGGCCTCCTCAAAACACCACCCGTCCTTGACCGTTGATGTGAACGGGGTTGTCCATTGCCCCGACTGTGAGAAAGATATCAAAGTGGGTAAGGGCGGTCTTGCCAACTACGATAGTATCCATTACAATAGCAAACAATGCAAGAAAAACCGCACCTCCAGAGCAAAAGCCGGCAAGACCACCAACAAAATGGCGGCACTCACGTCCTGGTTTACGGGAGCACCAGCTGCGTCCATCATCCCCTCAACTGTCCAAGCACCAGCACCGATCATCTCTGCTGCTCGAAACCATGAACACGGTAGCTCTAGCATCTCCGAAACCACTTATACCCGTCCCCCAAGTCCTTGCCTCTCTGTCCCCAGGCTGAAGAGCCCATGTCCATATGCCCTTCGCCTCCTTGACGACGTCAGATGCGCTAGTCTTTGTCTTCCCGACACCGTTCTACAAGCAAGCAAAGGTGACGCCTTCGCACCGTTCGTTGATGACCCTCCAGTCGTCCCACAGAACGAAGCTTGGGAGGTACTCGACCGGATGTTGAATAACACTGTTGGATGGGGGAGAACAGCGGAGGAAGTAGTACCTATCCTTCGGCGAGGAGAAAATGGGGTTGAAGCACTTTGTCGTTATGTCGAGCATTTTGTGTTGGGCTATGGGGTAACGGGCACGTTGTTGAAAGGGAAGATGCCGGTTCTTTGGAGGGCCATGGAGCTAGCATGAGCATGAGATGTTTTCAATGTCAAACGACAATGAACTAACCTCCTAATCCTCATTGTTTACAGAATAAAGGACACAGGCGGTGTTATGGACCATGAGATGGTTGCCAGACCCTTGTCTCCGCCTGTATCACTCCCTACAGATGACTATATTCACTCCCCCACGTCCTCAGTGATTTCTGACATGCAAACACAAGAGGCAACATATCCGGACGCACCTGTACAAGCCACCGACTCCGATGATGATATAACCTTTGTCAAGACTGTCAAACCCATCCGCATTCAGAGCTGCCCTGGTCATATCCTCACCTTTCCGCCCAGACAGACACCCAACTCCAGCTATCCATTCATGCTTCATGACCAGATGGATCTCCCATGGGACTACCAATCTTGCGGCACCATCATGATCTTGCGAGCATCGTCATGCACAGGAAAGGCCTTGTATCGCCAAGCCTGTTGTTCTTGCTCCGAGCTTGAGAATAACTATAACCTCATAGTGATCAAGTACCACATCAAGCACGGAGTTCACAAGAATTCGCCCTTTGCTTACCATGGTCTGGGCGGTATGATTGAAGTCGCACGTCGAAAGGGTCGTCAGAATGAGTATCTGAGGTTCAAAAAGGTCAATATGGTGAAGAAACTGGCGGGACGTACGGGGAAGATCAGCAAATACAAGCAGATGGTGCTCGCCTTGTCCGACAAGCGCATCCCCTGCCTGAATAGCCTCCTTCGTGTGGCCCGGCGATGACGTCAGAGCATACACACCATTACCGGGCTAATTAAATGTGCAGCAAAGAGGATATACCATCTGAAAGACTATCAGGAGGAGGACAACTTGCAAGCGCTCCTGATGCTCAGACTTGCCAGTTCCTGAGTTGCTGACATCGCCAACCGTATTCATGGATCCCCCGCTGCATCAACAATCTGTCGTCGAACTACCGTCCCGCCTCTAATCTCATCCCCATCCACACCTACGGTTGCAGAGGTCAAAGCGAATGTTCAAGCGTCGTTTCAAGGAATTGAGAAGATCCTGTCCTCGATGGATTCGGGGGCACCAATTTATACAGTCTTGATGTGGGACGAGATCGCGACAGAGAAGCGGTTGAGATGGGACGATAGGACGAACAAGCTGCTGGGAATTGGGCGAGAGACAGCCCCAAAGATGATGGTCGAGTTCAACAGCAAGGAAGATCTCGATGCCGTTCTCGCTGATCTGGAGTGTGGGGAAGTTCGGCTCGCAAGCGAGGTAAGTTCCGATAGACGCTGGTGCCACACCTCGCCACATGTCCAAACTAAAACTGACTTATAAGTTATGCTCACATAGGCTACGGTTGGTGCGATAGGCCTTCTATATAAGGACCCTAGGCTATATAGTGCACACCCCATACTCTTGTCGGGAAGCTCGAAGAATGAAACTGCCGAGGAGCATGCTAAGGTTCTCCAGACAACTGCCACTGGTGTAGCAAATAAGGGCGAACTTACACATGCTCGTGCAGTCTCATGGGCATCAGACGGAGAGGGTCGTCGGGCCAAGGCCTTGAGGCAGCTTACCGCCAAGTGGAAACTATCTCCAACCTCTAACATCTACCTTTTCCTGTTCGGCCTGGTCTTGATGTGCTTCCTGGTCGGCGACGATGATATCACAGCGGACAAAGATTATAAGCACGTCTTCGCATCAGGAAATCTGGTATCTGCTATATAGCTGGTGTGTTTTCCCACCCCTGGTTTGATAGCAGAACCCACGCTCTGAGAGCTCTGAGAGCACTCATATCAGTATGAGTAAACACTCTACATCATTAACTTGTATGACTATCTATACAGATACTACCATGTCCATGTATCTGTATTACCCTGTTCCACCTCAATAGAGATCTCTTACATGAGAGTGCCACCAGTCACAAGTGTCACAATGTCACAATTTTTGCTGGCCAGCCAGCAATTTGGGCCACACTTCTGCTCACATGTCCAAGCATCACTTTCTGACAAAATTAGGTATTGAGATTGATAGTATGGAAGACATGATGATATATAAGCTATCAACAAGGATAAATACAACAATAATAGGATATAGAACACAAATTGAAGAGGTAATGTGACATTTTGATGGTTTGAGTGATACATCCTCTCTACCCATACACTCTCTGGGATTGATTTGTAAAGACAAAGAGGAGAACAAGTCAAAATTTGAAGCAGAGAAAATATAATGAAGGCAGGGTAGGGTAGAGGATAAGAAGAGAACAGGATTCTGTAGGAACTGTGGTGAATAATACATACCTGAGTGGAGAATACTCAACTTTAGATGTGGGAAGAGCCATGTATGGAGGGAACAAGAGAAAGATGGTCAAGTTGGAGAGAGGGAAAGGAAGCAAGAGGGGGCTAGGGATCAGGGAAGGAGAGTCCACTGAGAGAGCCACAAAGCAGTCAGAGATAATCTAAGGCCAGAGCCATTCACTACTCACCTGAAGAAGCATACTCTATTCTATCCC